CACACACACACAGAGGCAGTGCCCACGTCCTCTGTCCCCATCACACACACACAGAGGCATGCCCACGTCCTCTGTCCCCATCACACACACAGAGGCAGTGCCCCCGTCCTCTGTCCCCATCACACACACACAGAGGCAGTGCCCACGTCTTCTGTCCCCATCACACACACAGAGGCAGTGCCCCCGTCCTCTGTCCCCATCACACACACACAGAGGCAGTGCCCACGTCCTCTGTCCCCATCACACACACAGAGGCAGTGCCCCCGTCCTCTGTCCCCATCACACACACAGAGGCTGTGCCATGTCCTCATGGACCATCAGAATGGCTGGACCTCAGAAGTCCCTGGGGCACTGTCCCCATCACACTCAGCTTGCCCTGTGTTTGTGTGTGATGCGAACTGTGCCCCTCCCTTTCTAGGTGGTGCCATTCTAGTGATTGAAAGCCTCCTGGATGAAGACAGGCGAGGTCCTCTGCTCACGCAGCTCTACTCTCTGAACATGCTTGTGCAGACGGAAGGCCAGGAGAGGACCCCCAGCCACTTCCATGCGCTCCTCTCGTCTGCTGGCTTCAGAGACTTCCAGTTTAAGAAAACGGGGGCCATTTACGATGCCATTTTAGCCAGGAAATAACTTTCCTTGTGACCTGGAACGACCGTCTGCTGGGAGAAGGTCTTGATGTGTGTGCGATGGATTGTACGTTGTTTACTGAGAAATGATGGCAAGGAACGCTGCGTGTCCCCAGGCAGAAGACTGCTCAGGGCGTTCTAGGATAGTGGACTGTATGTACCAGTCATGCACTCGTTACGCTAACTCTCAAAACACAGGATACATGATCTTGTCCCCATTGCTGACTGGCGAAGAGTGCTTTCTAGCTTATTTCTATTTTACCAGTGAACAGGCGCTAGCTGCCTATTGAGTCTATCCTTGTTCTATGAAGAGACACTGAGCCCCTGCTTGTTAAAAATGATTACTTGTTCACCAAGAATAAGTACATGGGTCAGAGTCTGCTCTGGATGCTGTGAGTCCCCTGATGTCCCACTCTGATGCCCACTTTTGCTCTGTATCTTTGTGTGTGTTTAACTCCTTCAGTGCCGCCTGGGTTGGAGTCTCCACCGCCGAGCTGGTCTTGGAAACCGTCGAAGTGTAGAAGCCAGAATAATAAAGAGATGTATCTCCA